AAAGGTTTGATTCTTGAGACAAAGAAGCATACTAACACAAACAAGACATGTGAAGAGTTTTTACCTTGAGCCATTGTCACCAAGACCATGAAGCCAGACTAGAGTGGCTTGATGCTTTCCTTTAGGCCTCACAACATATGTCCTTCCAAATTCATAGCCCCTTGCATTTCTACTACCTTCAAAGACCAAATACATGTCATTAACCAACTTCGAGAAGAAAAACAAAAATTTTCTTAAAGTAACTAAAATATCTTAGAGAAACCTTTATCACAACAAGGAACACTAACATTTCAAGATAACAATAAGATGAATAATAAAGAAGGAAATTCTAAAAACAAACCAGAGCCCATGCTTTGACGAGAATAACTCATTGTAGTTCAACTCTAAAGGTTTTTTTTATTTTGTCTTTGGAGATCTTTCAAGTTCCAAAACACAAACAAGTGATGGTGAATATTATATGAGAAGGTAAGGGAAGGGCAATGTGTATTTATACACCAAAATTAAAGGTTTGATGCGGAAATGTGGAATAAAAGAAAAGAGGTGAATCTGAATCATTCACTATGGGATGTTCATTGTGTACAACAGCTAACCAAAACTACTAGAAAGGGAATTGAAGGGGAAAGCTATAGAGAATGCATCAACAAGGGAATATAAAAATCAGTTTTTTTTCTTTACACAACAAAAGAAAGAAATCTTTTGGGAAACATAAGCTATAGAAAATAATTAAAACCAGAGCAAGAGAGCAGAGTAAGAGAGAGGAAGAATCAATGCTTTGTATTGTAGGCAGTGGTGGAGGAAAAATTAAAAGAAAAAACTAAAAAATAAACTTTTCCTCCTAGAAGAATATAAATTCCAAATATAACACGAAGTAGTTTTACCTGAAACATTAAGGCATAATCTAAAAATGAAAAAGAAGAAAAATCTCTCTTTTCAATCATTTATTTATGAAAGAAAAAAAACCAAAAAAATTAAATTTAAGATGATTGATGGATACCCATTAACCAGAAAGCTCAAAAGTCTTAAACTTTGTGAGGAAATCCTGCAAAAGAAGAAAAACAAAATTTAAGTTTGGAGTGTTTGAATTGATTGCAATTAAGGGTTTTGTTTATATAAGTGTTCTTGGATATATAATATAAAGATCTCGATCTACTGCAATGATGACAAGTATGAAAAAAACATAAGAGACCAACCTGGATTTTCAGGTGGGGTGAAGAAGATATTGAGGAAAAAGACATAAATCATTTTCAACAATTTCAACGCTTTGCTCATTGCTATGTTCTGTTTGCCAATCTATAATGGTTATTGCCCTGTACCCACCAATAGATTCAAATCTTTGGTTTTAGGCTTTTAGCTGTACCAGTGA